TAAAAATTTTGGAGCTTTCATTCAACAATGCACAGAAGAAATGCTGTAAACTCTGCCTGAATGCAAGAGACACAAACGTGAAACCTTGATTTGTGTTCTCAATGATGTGCTCACAGAGACAGCCACAAAAACAGGCATGTTTGTTGCATTGCTGAAATCTTTTGCAAATCAGTTAAAACTCGTGCGTGAGAACAATGGTGGTCCAATCAAGCGATATTGATACTTGGAATTACTTTTTTTTGATTGAATTAAAATCCTATTTTACTTTATGCTCTCCGGGAAAAAATTGTTATTTATTTTGTAACACCCCTTACTTCTCTCTACATCTCACATAAAAGAAACTGAATGGAGATCTGCCACATTTTCACTCTGAGCCTGTGCATCAACACCTGGCAAACTAAATGGCTTTCTTCTGAGATCAAGCTCACTATATAGACTCTTCAAAAGAAAAAGCTTACTTTAATTCAGTGATAAGAAAAATAATCTGTTAATTTAACTTATGAAAAGTGCATGAACAATTACTTTGCATTCACAATACAAAGAAATCACAAAAAAGTTAAACCATAAACAATAAACCCAATAACTAACTTGAGAGCTTTAAGAAGAAAGACTTTCCATTTTTCAAGAGTGAATCAGTTAATTAACACTGTAGTTGATAATAATGCAGAACTATTAAAAAAAAAAGTAAAAAGTTTGTCTTAACTATAACTTTAAACACACAAATATGACATTTTTTTTGTTAGAAGCCAACTGAAAGTTACATGAACATACCATGAAACTAATACTAATTCAACTGAAAAAAAAATAGAAATTTAAACATTAAATGTATGTGTAATTAAGATAATCAGAGATTAAATTTAGAGTAAAAAAATTTGACATTTTCTTACATACCACACTTTTTATGGACTTTACAACTAGAATCAATAATACATTGTTCACTTTTCTTCCCTTCTGCCAAAGTTCTTCAGCATTCAGCTTAAAGCACTTTATTAATAACTATACTGCTTGTGAACAATACACTTACAGTCATGCTTCACACTATGCTGGTGTTAACAAGAGTTTAAGAAAGTTAAATTGCCACTGATTTTTTGCATAATTTACATAAAACCTCTTAATCAATAGTTGAATGCATAATCAAAGTTTTAATTTCTAGGCTTAGTAAAGACAACTCTAAACTGTTACCAGAATTATAAATTCTGACTTAATTATGACTTGGTGTGTTTGTTATTTCATAAAAATTGTTGCTGATGGTGGAATTGCATAAACACTTTTCATATGAGGTCAGCTGATATGACTGACCTTGTAAACACAAAGTAACAATCAGACTTTCCATACTATAACTTTTAATATGCATTGTGTATTTTCATGAAATATTACAAGTCGTTCGTACATAGAAAGTCAAATTTTTTTTGGTTAAGTAGTTTTACTAATGATTTGTCTGAATATATGGGGTCTGAGTGTTGACTTCTCAGAGTCCAAAGTTAAGAATAAAAACACTCTTCTTCACCTGCAAATCTAAAATTTTTACTTGCATAATCTCTAAAACCTCTTAAATAAATAACTTTTTTAGTAAAACTTTATATTTTGGTTTGGTTTGAATTTCACGGAAAGCTACATGAGGACTATCTGCGCTAACCATCCCAAATTTAGCAGTGAAAGACTAGAGAGAAGGCAGCTAGTCATCACCACCCACCACCAACACTTGGGCTATTCTTTTATTAATGAATAGTGGAATTGACTATAACATTATAACACCCTCACGGCTGAAAGGGCAAGTATGTTTGGTGGGACAGGGATTCGAATCCACAACCCTTAAATTGCAAGTCAAGCACCCTAACCACTTGACCATGCCAGGCCAATCAGTATAGGTCTGAGGGAGGAAGGACTGGTTGGAATAGAGCATAACATAAGAGAAATGGTAGAGGAAGTGGTTAAAATTAAAGATAGAAATATCTGGTCAACAATGTCTGCAAGCAAGGAGGAGAAGGAAATAGGTCTTGAGAGAGAGAGATGGTAGATGGAACATGAAGACAAAGGTTCAAAGAAAGGATGGGAAAGGCATAAAGGACCACACTGAGATCCCAATCAGGCAAATCAAATGAACATGGAGGACGCATGACTTCAAAGGAACAGAAAAATGAGGGTAATGAAGAAACCTGTAAAAATGGAAGGTGTTCAACAAAACTGCTCAATAGCTAGACACAGTCGAAGTGCACAAGTCTTTGTCAAATAGCCAAGTGAAGAATAGGGAAAGATGAGGAACGGAAGAGTGGGAAGAATGGAAACCACACCGAAGAGACCAAAGGCTGGAAGGTATACCATCGCCTGTTGTAAATGGACATGGAAGAAGATCTAATGAATCAGGAAAGGAAAGATGCAACATGTGGAGTCAGTCCCTGGGCTGAGACAATGGACCTGAAAAAAGTAATGTGTAAAGACAGTGTGTGATAATATCTGGATGAACAATGTCCAGCCAAGGTTGACAAAATAGAGACCAAGACAGAGGTAAGGGTAGGTGAGGATGTACAAGTAAAGATCGGAGCAGTGGGAACAACTGTTGTGCCAGCCAAGACGGAGCCACCAATAGGACGAGACACAAAGTGGTTTGGAATAAGGATAGAACTCTGGAGGATAAGAATAAATGTGAAGACCTCACCAATCTTGACAGAATGTGACCATTGCCAGAATTATTGAGTGAGTGAGGGCAGCAAAGGTATATATGGGGTGTCCCAAATCTGAACACACCCAACTAAAGACCTGGGGTCAAGGGACCACTCCATTAGGATAATCTTGTTGGAAAAAGATAATCGATCCACCACCAGGTTCAGGGAGCCAGGAAAAAGGCAAACTAAGACCATAATGTGGTGATTGTGGTCCCAGAAAAGAGATCCAGGATCTGAAATACAGAGACCTGGAAATGGTACCCTCTGGCTCTGTGGAGATGTCAGAATGTATAATAACCACCACCATAGAAGAAGAAGGGGCAAAGTTCAACCAACTGCTAAAGGCTCGAGAAAGGTGATATGGAGAGAAGACTCCTTGATCTACTAGAGGCCGGAAATCACCTGGGAGTCCAAGTAAGAACCACAGCCCTCTAAAGACGAGTCTGTGAACAAATGTAAATCCAGATGAGGTGGAGTAAGCAGCAGCCCCACCATGGTCTGGTCTCTGTCTAACCAACAAGCTACGGATACAAGGAGAAGTTCCGCTGATCTAAGAGTGTCCCCTAAAGGGAATGCATATGAGCCTGACTCATGGGAATGAGAACTACCAAGGATTTCCACATCCCCAAAGAGGTAGAATATCTTGAGCTGCAAGAAATGTGAGGTGAGCCTTCTTCTCTTCATCTTTGGGTTTGCCTGCTCCTGAGGCTGGAAAGAAGACCCCCCTCCCCAAATGAATGGGGTATTTAGAGGGGGTAAGAATATACTTCCCCATTCTCATAAGGAATCCCATCCATGCTGCTTCCTGTAGGAGCAAAGGAGTGTGGTCTCTGGACTGTGAATGGAAAGAAGCAAGCAGGAGCCAGTCATCTACAGAAAGAAGAGTGCAAAATACTCATAAGGCAAAGATGTCAGGCAAAAATTTGTACACCCGCCAAAACACTTAAAGAGCCGAGGCTAGTCTGAATGGTGGGGCCCTGAACTGAAAAATTCGACTTAGAGCAACAAATGACTATCGAGGAAGTGGGCACTGTGTGGAAAAACTCTGAATTGTAGATTACAAGGAAAAAATAAGGTGACTAGTATCATGAACATATGAAAAGGAGACATAACCAAGCTCCGCCCTTTGAATGGGAAAGAAATGAACACATCAGTGATGTAAAAAAGCAAAAAATTTAAGCCCTACACTGATGAAAATTAAGATGATCAGGCACATAGTGAACAATTAAGTCGAAAAAAATATATTCAGATAAAACAATGAATTATATATATTACTAGTAGTAATGTACAAACTCTCTAAACATACCTAGTTAATAAAGCACTTATAAATATAAAATGGACAAAACACTGAAATTTATCGAGTCCACAAAGTATGTAATAATAATGAACATGCACACTGATGAAAATTACCTAGAAAACACATTAATAATCAATATCTAACTTACAATTTCTCTAAATTAACCTAGAAGACAAAGAACACATAATTAAGTCCTACACTGAGGAAAATTAGGATGATAAGGCACATAGTTAACAATGACGAAAAAAATTACTCAAATAGAACAACGAATTAGATGTTACTAGTAGTAATGACATGTAACTTGCACACCATCTAAACATACCCAGTTAAAGTACTTATTAATAATGAACTAATGAACCCATGAAATTTGCCAAGTCTACAAAGTATGTATCATTAACAAACATGTAAAAGATTAAATTTACCTAAAAAACAAAATAATCATCAATATCTAACTTACAATTCATCTAAAGTAAATTAGATGACAAATATTTAACTTATCAAAGTCCAAGCATTGATGAGATTAAATACTTAATTCTCCTGTGCATAAATAAAGGCAAAGCCATACAAAGGGCATCTGAGCCATGCCTACCATGGGTATATCAACCAGGTGTAAAATGTACATGTTGAAAAATTTACCACAGATCCTCTGGGAGAACTGGAAGCAATAGGAAGAAAGGAGAAGAAGAACAATTCTCTACCAAAGTGAATGACATGGTGGCATAGAAACTGGTGGAAGGTGAAAATTCCTGAAGAAGTGTAGAGTGTTACAGACCAAAATAAGAAGATGCCAGAAAATAGAGTACAAATTGTCTTCTCATTGATTGTAATGTTCCTCAGGAACATTGTCACGTTGAAAAGGTGAAGAAATTTTCAGCCAAACATATGAAACTAGCTCCCTGCAAATTAAGGCCTGTACCTCCTCTGCAGATAAAGTCGAATCTAATTCCTGGGAAGTTGTACCAGCTGCATTTTCGACTGTAATTGGAATTTCCATAGTCGATCACAAGTTCATACTAGGATCTCTTTTAATTCAGTAACAAGAAATAAATTCCAAAAATTGTTGAAACAACTGAATACAAATGCAGTAAAATAAAACTGTTGAAAAAAATTGAAATGACAAAGAAGCACATTTATAAATGGTAGCCAGATGCAAAAAAACACATCTAAACAATGCTATGCCAATTGAGAAAAGTGAAGATTGAGTAGGAAGAGCAGGGGGAGCTAGCTGCACCAATGTAGGTAATGCAATAGTCAAATGATATGTATATGTTCAGAAATTGTGCAAAATTGACGGTGTATATATAGATTGATGCACTGATCATGAAAATTTTTTAGTAATGCTTAATGGGCAGAAGAAGATTGAGACAGCTTTGTGTGACAAGAGGTAAAACCATATTGGAAGCTTATTTTTCTTACAGTTCTCATCATATCTAATAATATATAAAAAAAAGACAAAATGAGCAAATATACAAGTAAATAAAATAGAAGATATACATATTATACATGAAAGACAAACAGAGATATTATCTCATGGGTATGACACAGAACAGGTAGCAAAAGTGAAAGAAGCCTAACAACTTTCTTGACCACATTATGTTAAAACTGCAAATACATCTCACAAATTCTTAAAAGTTCAATCTTAAAATAAGAAGGTAGAAAATGCATGACATGCCTGCATATCCCAAGCTTACAGAGCTTATATTTTGTCTGCCTTCAATGCACATTTTCTTGAGACACACACATGTATACTGAAAAAAACAATCTATGTTATTCTAATATCCAGAACTAAAAATACAACTTACAGCAAACAAACTCGTTGGTAGACCAGTTTTGATAAGCAATTCATAATTTATAAATTTAACATATAATTTTAAGACAAATCAAGTTTTTTACCGAAGTAGCTCAACTGTAAGTGTTCCCTCAGGTTTGATTTCTACATACTTTCCCCAGAACTTCAGCTTTGGATGAATAGACCCAGAAAACGTAAAGTGTGGAGAGTCAGCATAAAAGGCACTAATGGGAGGATGGTGGCTTACTTGTTCGCAGATAATCTTGAATCCAAGGTCTTCTCTAGAGAAAAAAAAAACTAGCATTTGTTTAACAGTCCTCAAAGCAAGGGAAAAATTATATGATACGGAACTTTGATTAAAATTGGTTCTTCACTCAAAGCATTAAAGTTCAATCGTAACAGTAAAATAATTCTGTTTCATAGAAATGTCACTATATTTTAATATTTCAATTTGTCATGATATAAAAGACTGTTTAATTTAGATTTTATTGATTGATTTGTTTTTGGGAATGAATATTTTATTATTGTTTAGTTTTTGTTATAATAACAGTTAAAAGCAAACGATTGTAGGAAGTTTTGTTAATAATTCATTGATGTTGAGACTACTGAACATTGCATGCAATACATTGACATCGAGAATATTGAAGGCGCACATACGATTAGGTGATAAAGATATAAATAGCATGATACGATGAGGAAACGGCAGACAGATAATAGTTAAGGAGAATAAAGTTGGCATGAATTTAAGTACCATAGAAGTGATAGGCCTAATGATTGACATATAAGCCTAACATTTAATATGTTAAGAGTGAAACTAACAGTATAAAAGAAGATAAGAAAACTAATTTTATTCCATCAAACCGTGGTTCTAAAGTAATTAATCAGCCTGAGTGCACTTTATAAATGAATCACAGAAAATACTAGTGCAATAGAAATGGAGAAGATAGTTCGACTTGTCAACTGAAATTTTAAAGTAATTGAATAGGCTTAAGTGGATATTTGACAAGAAGGAGAGCACTACATATATAGTATTTATGATATGCCCATAATATCTATAGTGTTGAAGAATTTATTGTACATATGTTAACTTGTTCTGAATATATATATTATTTTGAAAACAAGTGAAGTATGTGCTGTTTATTCATTGTTGAATTTATTGCTAACAAGTCACAGACACCT